TTACCTTCACTCTTCCAGTTCAACCACCAGATTCCAGCTCCACTTCACGGTGCTTTAAGGGCCAATCCGTTTTTTTTTCATCAATGTAAAATTTGCACGAGTGAAATATGCCCCCAGACTGCCTTCTAAATACGAGATCTGATGTCATGAAGAGTTCAAGGATACTTTTTCAGAAGCGTCGTCATTTTCGTCTACCGCTGGCCACAACTTAATTTTAGTTGCCAGGCAGACGCTGCGCGGCCTACGGAGACTGCAACGCCTTGGATCAAGGCTTGTGTTTCTAAAATTTTCAAGTGCGCTTGCTCAAAATTGCGCATGCCACATATCTTGTATAACTAGTTGATTTAAGTGTTTAAAGGTAATCATTTCAGAAGCGTCATGCTTTTCGTCCACCGGTGGACCACGGCTAAATATTAGCTACTAAGCTAACGCCCCACGGGCTATAGAGACTGCAACGCCTGGTGCCGAGGTTTTTGTTGGTAAGATTTGCGAGCGAGCATGTTAAAAAACCCGTTACATGAATTGCATCACTAATCGATTCCGACTGAATGGTGAACATTTTCAGACAAACATGGCTTGGCTATACACTTTGTTGGCCACTCGATATGCAATCAAATTTTCGTCTTCAGATTTGGATAAAACATATCGATCTGCAATCTACCTTCGCGATGTCCTCAATGTCTGTAGAACCCAGATAAAAAATTGACAAAGCTTCTGAATTCCATCGGCTTAGAAAGAGTCAGCTAACCGTTGTGTCCAGCACATGTTTCTTACAACACGTAGAAGTAACGCTGATACAAAAGTATGCAACAAAGTAGCTACACGATCAGCTCGCAGTCAGAGACATCCAGGCCAGGGCAGTGACCACCGACGGCGGACTGGAGCAGGGCCCAGATAAGGAACATATGACAGGTGGGCCTTATTATGTGGCTTGATTCTTAAAAGAAAATCTCCAGCGTTGTGGATTTTGCCACATTGTTTCTATCAGTTTCAAGCTCCCGAATTTGTTCCCGCCTAAAATGCTGCGACAAGTCTTATTTCTTGAAAAAACAGCCAGCGAAATGGAGGCGCGTGAAAAATCAGGCGCACTGTGAGCCATTGATTCACTTTCAAAATTATTACCAGCCTATATACATGCCGTATTTTGGCATCTACACTGTGGGGTCAAATGTTTTCTTAGTGACGCAAAATGATTATCCGCTCGTGGGATTTCGTCTCCCCAGGAAAACCAATGTTGAAATGGATGAATAATCTAGGGAAGCTGGATAGCCTTATTTGCCAAACGACAAATGAGTCGAATAGGCAAGATTGTGCACCAGTGATGCATAGCTCTAGATGCATATCTAGCAAAGCAGCCATGGCATTTGAATAAAGAGCGATGACAGCTTCGACCCCTACACCCTTCCCCCCTCCTGGTCATCAGGCTCGCTTTCCAGAACAAGTTCCTGAAGTACAACCTGAGCTTGCCCCCCCCCCCCCACTTTTTGAAGCGTTCTTACGCCTATGCCATCCGCTACCACGGCTCCAAGCCGCCCTGAGAAGGTGCGGCCGTGGTCAGAGCGTTACGGGTTCCGCTTCTCAGCTCCAAAATCTGCGGTTATGATTTTCAGCAAAAATCTGCGTGTCACTCCTAACTGTTGGCTCCGATTAGATGAGCATTACATTCCTCTCGTTTGTCTCCCAAATTTTTCGACGTCGTACTTAAAGCAACATCATCAATACGAAAATACATGGAACATGTTCGCTCCAAATGTCTAAATGTGCTATTTTTTATTAGATGCATATCCAGGTCACGGTGCGGTACCGACCACCAAACGTTATAACTTCTGTACAAATCATTAATTCTCCCCATCATTGAATGCGGCCCCGTGGCGTATGCGGGAGAAAGCCAGCACGCTGTCCGACCTCTATCCACCATACCAAACATGTTGTTGCGAATTGCCCAAGGAGTTCTGCGCATATCTACAATTTCAGCGTTTGAGGTTTACGACTACGTTATGCCTCTTGTTCTCCGACGGAGGCAACAAACATTGCGATAAAAAGCAAAACTGCGACAAAATGCCAATCACACAGCATTTAAATCTACAAATATATTACATCGCTTTCACCACGGCCACGTAGAGGCGGCGGAGCGCCGGTCAGGATTGATTATAGCATCTCGAACCGCTGTCTGCTGCACCGCTGATCATTTTGTTTTACCGCCTTCTTCCGAGTCACCTGCTTTGGTAGTGCTACCATGGCAGTTAGCCCCTCGAAAAGTTTTGTTTCGTTTTGACGATCTCAAACACCATGTCACGACAACTTATGTTCAACAGATGTTTAGTTGTTTGACTGCCGATAATCCAAACAGTTGTTTTGTTTACACCGATGACCCCAGGGCCGCTGACATCTTTTGTATTCCAGCCAAAATCATTGGATGTTGGGGAAAGCCAACATTGAGGAGGAGGGGGAACTCAACTTTGGAGGGGGAAGGGCAGGGCCCCTACAAAAGAATGCAAATCGACACCCGTGCCTTTTTTCCTTCCGGGCAAGGAGCCCCTTGAGTGGAACACCAGGGACACATTACGGGTTCCGGTCAAGGGCTGAAGGGCCATGCCGTCCCATCGCGAATATCTTCTGGTTGCCGTTCTGGCGACATGGCGCGGGACCTTCTGGTCGATCTGGAGGCCGTTAGAAGAACAAATCATATTCGCACTGTTCCCCTCCCTGACACGGGTGGCCTTCTGACCCGCACAGTTGGCCCCGGATCAGCATAGGAACCCTCAATGACGCAACTGCATGCCTGATCGGCGCGGGTGGTCCAATAGTTGTCACATACTACATTTCTTCATATTCATACAGACTACAGTTCCATGTTTTCTGTGTTCTTCAGAGACATTGAGAACTCCGTGAACGTACAGTGTGTATAAAATGGGGCCCCAAATTTGTATTCATATGGCTAATCCATGTTCATTTTAAAATGTTCAATATTCAGTCATAATTAATCACAGATAAAAAAACTATTTCATATGGTTTTGAACACACGCGCTCGCGAGTCTTGGCAACGACAGCCTCGACGCCCGGCGTTGCAGTCTCCATAGGCCGTGCGGCGTTGGCTTTGGCCGTGATACAAGGCGATGGCCAATAAGCAAATGGAAAAGAAGACGCATCTTGAGGATGATGGCTGGTGAACTAGGCAAATCGGCATGCATCTTTAATGTGGCGCAAAAGTAAGCTAAGCGCAACCTTAACCTGAGGAATGTGGGCGGTGGGGCAGTGAACATCGGGACCGGCCCGGGACAGGTCCGGGGAAATCCCGACTGCGCCGTCGGTCGGCGCGGTCGGAGCCGGTCAGGTCGGGGGGGGGGGGGGGGGGGTGGCGCCACCGGTGGATTGTGACGTCACTGCAATCTCTCTCGCCGGCGCGTGGCGGCGGCTCCAAGGCCACTAACCAAACCGGATATACTGTAACTTGCAATGAACATTACCATGGATGGCACGTCAGTTTCTTTGGCTGAATTATTTGCTCTTCTTGGATTACAACACATTCAACAAAACATCCATACGACGAAGACGACAGTGATTTAGTCTCATTCCAATGCAGCTGCGCAATCAGTTATCGACCCAGACTTCACCCATCACCTCCTTGTTAACACTATTAATCTCTATCATATATTACGCTCTTAGGGCATGCACATCATTTTTTGTGGATTTCAGGACACAGATGCTTGGCCTCTCAATGTCAGCCATTAAGGTCAATTTGAATGTCACATGACGTTGAAGTCTACATCAACCAGAAGTTATCGGCCGATTTCATAATTTTCAAGCATTAGAATTGCCTTCAAAGCGCAAATTAGCATCCGCCAAGGTGTCCTGACCTCTCGATCATCATCATTCGTTTCATCTCTCAGAGTCAAACTCAAGTTCAAATGACGGCGAAATCCACATCACTAATCTCCAAACATCCTTTCTATCTCTTATATCTCCTGAGCTACATATCATTTTGCGAAAATCTGAGATTGAACGGTAACCTGTAAGTGATATAAAAAAATTTCCGGTATTTAGCCCTGAGAGGTTTAACCTTGACTTCATGACGGACGCCAGTTTACGCGTCGGACGATTATCATGCTTAAAAGCACATAGCAGTACAGATGCAATACACAAATAGCATACCTAAAATATACCAAATAGGACAGCTAGTTACGAATGGGCAGCGGGTAGGTACGGGCACATTCCCATGCATAGCGCGTTGATAGGGTAAAGTTATCTTACCTGTGAAGGTCTCTGGTCCCAGGTGCTTGCCAAGTATATATTTATTTTGCGTTTGCCTTCAACCTACCACCAAAGGAAGCCCAACTCAGTCTATCGAATGATTTTGCTTTCTGGCTGCCTGCCAACAGGACTGCGGAGATTCTACTCACAGTACCGCCTTACAGCAGCGCGCCTGTCAGTAGTCCTGTTCAAGCTCAGGAGGAGGGTTTTAAGCCTTTAAAAGGGCACGGCCTTGAGTTCCATTGCATTTTCTTCAAAATGGCAATCTCAGTCAAAGGCGCATACAAGTGTAAAAACCTCCCTTGAACGGCTCTAAGCAAATCCGTCACAGCATTCATCAGATTAGTGCATTTTGGGGGAAGCGGTCAGCGAGCTTCCACACCAGCCTACCATACAGACGTGAAACGCCACTTGTGGCCGGGAACATGGATGATAGTGACATGGTCAAACATGATGGCGTGATGTTATGTGGATAATCGATACATGGCCAGGGAGTACCACACCCAGCAAGTTCGTGCTTAGAAGATTATTTATTTCGACAACCATATCGTTCAAGCTGGTACGTGAACACAAAAAATATCATCCAACATCAAATAGTCCCAGATCTTAAGCACGCAGAGGCACCGGGAGTCCTCTTACATAGACGTAAACACCCTTATACGTAATGTCATATGGCACTCCTGGGCTTCGAGTCACTCCGGACCAGATCTGCCTTAGCCAGTCGCCTGTCAGAGCTTCGCTATCTCCTGGTCTTCCTGCCCGCGTCAAACGATGTCTTTGTGGTCGTTCATCTCCCGGTAGTGACTGAGGACCACCGCCAACCAGTACCAGGACACCGCCAGCACAGCCAGGACGGCCATCATGGACAGAACAAGGATGGTATTGCCGCCACTGATGATCACGTAGTAGACGCTGATACCGCCAAAGACGCTCTGAAAGCCCGTGACAATGCCGAAGTAGATGATCCACGCCAGCAGCATGCCGCGCACTCCCTTCCGCGCGCCGTGCACCAACAGGCTGTTGAAGAGGATGTGGATGGCGAAGATGGCGGTGACGACGGCTATCACCCACGGCTGCATGTGCTGGCCCGCCGGGCTGTGCTTGGAAGCAGCAAAGATCCACATCCCAACGCCGAACACGAAGGACAGGATGTAGTACGTGAGAACTGTGACGCCGATCGCGATGCTTCCATCGCGCAAGTTGAAGCAGCCGCAGCAGCCTTGGACGCCCATCCTGCCTGATCTGAAAGGCTGCACCAGTCAAAAGGCCACCAATGCGGCAGCCAGCTCAGTCCGCGCGGAAACGGCCCAGAACACGGGCGTACCACCCACCACCGGGGCCTGGGTACGCTCTGTCACTGCCGGGACCTCGGTACGCTCTGCCACCGCTGGGGCCGTGGTACGCTCCGTCACTGCCGGGGCCTCGGTACACTGCAACACTGCTGGGGCCTCAGTACGCTCTGCCACCGCTAGGGCCTCGGTACGCTCTGCCAGGTCTGGCGTGCGTTACGGGCTTTTAAGTGCATGGCCCTGTCAGGTAAAATTGCAGTTCCATATTCTACCACCAGGTGTGCAAGCAGTCCGGGCGGATGGACTGGGGCAGTGGCGCAGACAAGGAAGCCCAGGGGCCACGTGCCCGCTCCCCCGAGATGGTATTCAGGGTCCCGGCCCGAAGGACCGGGCACCCCAATGCCAGCCAGAGGGGCTCAACATATAAGGGGTTATACATTGGTCATACACCACTAGTACCACACAGTTAGCTTAGTGTTGGTATGTGCTTGCGGACTCATTTTCCAAGCAGGGAGAAAGCTTGGGGTAGCCATTTGCATTGGCCGGAACCCCAACGTCTGTCAGAGGCCCACAGTGCCTAACAAGGGAATTGCAACGACAAGGAAACCCGATTCGGCCAGAGACAATGTTCGACTAGGCCCGAAGAGAGCCTGGCGGGCCTACGGGGCCGACGATTAAGGGCTCGATTGGATGACATAAGGCCCCAAAGAGCCGGCTGAATTCTTCTTCAGGGACCCGGCCTGCGAAGTCGGGCCCTAAGCTGACAGTCAGAGCGCCCTTTGCGTCGATCGGTGACTCCCTGAGTCGATCATGGCCTGCACACACGCCAGGCGTCACCAGTACCGCACAGTCGGCTCCGTGTCGGTCTGAACCCTGTGGGCCCACTGCACAAGCAGGAGCAGGCCCGGGGCCCACGATTTGCATTGGTCTTTATCCCTGAAACAATGATTGGGGCCGCTGTGCCCGTCAGCGGCCCGCAGGTCCCACAGAGGCATCTGTCAGCAAGTGGCCCCGAGTCCGTCACGATACTCTTATTGGAGGAGGCACCACGAAAGAGGGATCCGAAGGGCCCTGGGGACCAAAGATCAGGGTATGGTTGGAAGGCTGAAATTGGCGGAAGGGCCCCGAAGGGACTAGCCTTAGAGCACCTAGCCAATAAGGACGGCCTTCCCGCCCCAGAGCCGTGGTCTCAAATGCCAGTCAGTGGGTCTCCTACATTGATTGGGGACCCGGGGGACCCGAGACTTACTCTTCACTCTGGTCGGTCAGGGAAAAGTTCACTTAACAAAGACGGGACCCCCGAATGACAGAGAGTCTTTTGCGCAGCCGGAACGTACCCCGCGCTGGAACGGAATGGCCCTCCGGCCCTTGAACGGGAACGATGATGTGCCCCCCAAGTGTTCTACTCAATGGGCCCCTTGCCCATAAAAGTAAGAGGTCTCAGTAGTGTTAAATTTGAGTAGATTGAAATGAGTTCAAAAAATGAGGGAAACCCATTTTTGCCGGAGAACATTTACTCTTGTGCAAAATCGACCAACGCAAAAAATTACATCCAAGGTTTTGAGCCTGTGCGGTCGCAATTTCAGGAGCAAGTACAGTGATGACCGGGCGTGTGTATTGCTGCAGCGGGGTGCGCGCTGTGCAACATTTGTGCAGCTTTTTGCAACTTTGCAGTTGCTTCTTCAGAGGCTTTCATCCTATTGCAACCAGTGGTAGCGGTCTTAGTGCGATACGTTGCCTTATTTGGCTGTAAATCGCTTTTGCAATATTCTGCAACCTTTTGCAAAAACATCCAAAACTACCCTACAGAAGCTTTTGCGCCTTGTGAGAACACTGAAATATCACTATAGGTGGTATAATGCGGCTAGACGGCGGCATGACCTGGACCGGCCAAACGACGGAGTTGGGGATTGGTCATTGAGATCGCCGGCGGGCGGCGGTGGGGCCGTCGCCGCGGACCTCCCGTGCGGTGAGCGGCCCGACTGCAGCGACCGGGACCGTGTGCCGGGCGGTCGGGGCGGCGGCAGGACGGCCGCTTCTCTCCGGCGACCCTGGTCGGCGTGGTGGCAGGACGTGTGACGGGCGAATGCCCACAGCTTCTTCTTCTTCTCACGGATGAACATCCGGTGCAGTACTAATGCCAGGTCTTAGTCCCTCCGCAAACTTTTCACAGACGCAGTGTTACATCAGTTATGAAACCGTCTTTAATTTGAGCAGGGTCGTGGTCATGGCCAGCAAAACTTTCAAAAGCTTGAATACGTTCCTCGAAATGTGTGCCTTAGGCGTCTTACCGCGACCAAGAAAACAAATCACACGTGCGATAAATAGCCTTCGCTCCCGCAGCTCTCGCAGTGACGGGTAAGTTTTATCAAGTATGTGGTGCTAAGGTAAAAAGTGGGCCAAAAGCGTCCCCTCTGTTTGCACCCTGCATTCACTTTTGAAAAACGGGTTAGGTAGCGAGAAGCTGTTGCTAACATTTAGAGTAACCACATTTTAGAAATATGCTCGTTTGATGAACGTTGCTGAATGTATTACGACACTAGAAACGTATCCGACATTTAAGAGACTCTGCTTTTCCGAAAGTTTTACAAAGCGTTGGCTACTTTTCCCTCTTTTACGGGGTGTGGCTGCTCCAAATCCAGAAACTGTGATTGCTTTGGGCTGCCGAAAGAGCTGTGAAGGCGGCTTCTCCGACTGAATGCATGACCACGGCCTTTCGCCTGGTCACTTGACGCCAAGCCCCATCACAACGCGCGCCTCGGCTCGCCTCGGATCCGTGGACGGACGCGGACGGCCCCGCGGTGAAGGCGGGGGGTGCGCCGCGCCCGTCTTCACGCGGACACATGCGTCTGCGTCGAAGACTGCGCAGGCACGCGTCAAAACAGGTGACTCACGCGCCGGCGAAAGAGACTGTGGTGACGTCACAATTAGCCAGTGGCGCCATCCGACCGGGCCGGCTCCGACCGCGCCAGCTGGCAGCGCAGTCGGGATTTCCCCGGACCGGCGATCGCAAGCTGCTGACGACGCAGGGACTTTCTCGGGCCGGTCCCGGCCGAACCTGGCGGTTGACAGGCACGCGGGGCTGTCGAAGTCGTGCGCGACCTGTGGTACGTCACGTGACGTGCCATGATACATGTCACATTGTCACGTGACAGGCCACGGCTTTCTGCAGACTGCGGAGATGTTGGATGAAACCCAGTTACTAGTGGCGTTCCAAAATACTATCACCAAACCAACGTAAGAAACCACCACGATGAGAAAGTAGCACGTTCATAGAGAGAGTGAAGAAGGTGGTATGGCAAACGCGTCGGCTTCATTGCAATTAGTCGCGTTCAGACACCTCAATTCTATCTCATGTCAGTTCTAGCATATCGCCATTTGCCAGTTGTTTGCCGCGGATCACCAAAAAGACACACAATTTCTGCCGCACACGGCAAAGAATGTTCCGGAGAGCTTTCTGTGACTGCAGAATGTTCGTGATGGGCTTATGCCAGATATCATGGTGGAAGCGGTTACAAAATGTTGTGAATTTATAGGAACGTAGGAGCTGAAGCATTCCACCATAGTCGACTGCCAAAAGAAGAAAATGACATCCCATATATCATGTTTTGTTGTGGACTGTTGCAAGAGATCATCCGGTGCTCTGAATTCATTTGGAAGGTTTTTAATTTGGTTCAATTTGAGCTTTTTGGGATATAGTGGGTATGGCAGCGTCTGTCGGGGTGTCGACAGCGTAGTAGCTACCGATGCAGGGCATGAGCAGCCGTGCGTATATTCTGTAACACCGGTAAGAATATACAAACAAAACGCATCACTCAAAAACGCATGGCTTTGATATTACGGCGTGCATTTCAATATCATACTCTGGGAAAACAATGACTTTCGGACTTCGTGACCTTCTGTTACATGACTTACCTCGGCAGTGATCGCATTAGGATGTATGGTTATTTTGAAAGTCAACTAACGTTGATAAATGATCTTTGTGGTGTAAAGGCATACATTATATATATATATATATATATATATATATATATATATATATATATATATATATGTGTGTGTGTGTGTGTGTGTGTGTGTGTGTGTGTGTGTGTGTGTGTGTGTGTGTGTGTGTGTGTGTGTGTGTGTGTGTGTGTGTGTGTGTGTGTGTGTGTGTGTGTGTGTGTGTGTGTGTGTGTGTGTGTGTGCGCGCGCGTGTGTGTGTGTGTGTGTGTGTGTGTGAATTCCCCGCAGAGACCAGCCTTCCTGCCAGCCGACACCACACAGCCTCAGCAGCAGAGTGCCTCGTAAGGTCCCAATGACGACTGTTAATTCAGCTTTCACGTCATGGGACAAAACTAATAACACAACTTCTCTGGCTTCGAACATGGGGCTTTCACTCGTTGCAAGGTTGTGATTTGGTGGTCCATCATCGGGGAGTACGTTTCCCGTATACGTGCAATTACGCTCTCCCCACTCTAGTATGTAGTAGTTACCTGGAGTTGGATTCTTGAGGCAGCTGGGTGGTACTTGGTCTGGCAGATGCGAATTGGCAGGAGGTGAAAGAACACACGGTTGTGCGGTATGACCCTCCCCAAGCATTTGATAACGTGTAAATGGCTCCCCAGAGGGTTCCAGGCGTGGATATACAGGGGGGGGGGGGGGGGCAGGGGGCCATGGCCCCGCACTCTTCAGAGGCGGGGGGGGAGGGCAGCAGTACTAACTCCCCTCCCCACAATTCTCACATTAAGGTTGCGCTTAGCTCACTTTTGCACCACATTAAACATACATGCCGATTTGCCTAGTTCACCAGCCATCTTCCTCAAGATGCGTCTTCTTTTCCGTTTGCTTACTGGCCATCGCCTTCTGTCACAGCCACAGGCCGACGTCGCGCGGCCTATGGAGACTGCAACGCCGGGCGTCGAGGCTGTCGTTGCCAAGACTTGCGAGCGCGCATGCTCAAA